CCCCGGACGGGCCTGGCGACGCTTTCTCCTGCTCCAAAATAGAAGACGTGGGAGGCAGTTCAAGAGTTTGGCAAAATGACTGTAAATCTCCGTTTTTCCGCCGTTGGATTACTTTATTGCTCTCCCCTTTGCCCTTGGTAATGATCCCTTATCTTCCATCGTCGTCAGAAGGGGCCCCAAAGCCCGGATCTACATCTACCCGTTGATTGTGGTGCGTACACAAACTTCCAGAGGAGTCAGTGCGGCTCCCTTCGGGGGTTACTCCCCAAATTGGCAGAAAGTGCAGTGCCCAATCCCACAGTGCCCACCCCATGAGCTCTGTCCTTGTCTCCCTTTGCACCAAAAACGAAGCAAGGGCCGGGCGCCGTGGCTCACGCCTGTAATCCCAGCACCGTGGGAGGCCGAAGTGGGAGGATTGCCTGAGCCCAGGGGTTCGAGTCCAACCTGGGCAACTTGGCAACAACTCGTCTCTACAATAAATCAAAATTTAGCCAGGCGTGGAAGCACGCACCTGTAGGTCCTACTACTTGGAAGACTGAAGTGGAAGGATCGCCCGAGCCCAGAAGGTCGAGGCTTGGTGACTGTGAGCCTGCCGCTGCACTCCAGCCTGGGCAACAGAGTGAGACTCCAACTCAAAAAAAAATTTTTTTTGTAAGCAAAAACCACAATCTATAATGTTCCAGTGGTCCGTGACATGGTAAACGGGTCATAAATTAATACTGCCATCCTCCCGTTAACTTTGTACGAAAGCAGGGAAAAAAATAGAAAGACATTGGGTGGTGTTCGTGGCCTCTGAATCCTCATCATGTTCTCTTACTCCCCAAATGTCCTTGGTCAGTAATGGGGGCTCATTTTCAGTCCCAGGGGTTCCATTCCCCTGGAATTAGATTTGCAATTTACAAAGTACATAACTACACGGTGCCAGCTTCAGGAAAAGTTTTAATGAACACATAGATGGCTTAATATTCATAAAGTGCTTTGAACAGTGCTTAGCACAGTAATTAGCCACCACATATACTTTGTTTCAAAACAGTAAATTCCCGTTTCAATTGTGCAGTGGTAAAATGATGCCCTCAAGTCTCATAAGGAGATCTTCCAAATCCCACACGCTGCTAACTCCACCAGTCCTTGGTGGGATTGAAGACCACCTGCTTTGCCTTGGGTACGAGATCGCCACTTGAATCAGAGCACAACCACATCATTTGCAAGAAACTAGTGTCTTCATTTGAAGAAACTATCCTCTTCCCATTGAATTGCCTTTCCCACTGAATTGCCTTATCAAAGATCAAGAGATTGTATTTGGGTTGGACTGTGCTATGGTTTGGATGTTTGTTTCCTCCAAAACTCGTGTTGAAATTGGATCCCCAGTGATGGAGGTGAGGCCTAATGGGAGGTGTTTGGGAGTCATGGGGGTGGATTCTTCACAAATAGATTACTGTCTTCCCTCAAGGGTGAGCAAGGGCTCACTCTATTAGTTCCGATAAGTACTGGTTGTTAAAAAGAGAAGATAGTGATCTTCTGCAAACTATTTCACCTCTATTTGATGCTTATAAATATTGTATTCTTATTAAAAAAAACTGTCCCTTAGAATTTGAAATATGGTTTTATGATCTATTCATTTTCTTTCTTTTTTTTTTAACTGGCTTCTGGCTGTAAAATAGAATATGGTAGATTGTGGATATCCTCTACTGGGGCAACAGAGGGACAAAATAGAGTGAATGTTTGTGAATTCTGGGAGTAAGTGCCCCAGGCCCTGGTGGGACTATGAGTGAAATTTAACCCAGGAGATGTTTAGCACTTTGCTCAGTTTAGCAATCCCATGCAGCAGACTCCCATCTTCAGAAAAACAGTAGGAGACCCTCACTGACAAGGCCTGTGAGCAAGTGACTTCTCAGCAAAAAGAATATAGTGTGAGGCAGGGAAAAAAAAATAATTGTTTACATGGTCTCAGCAAAACAGCTAGAGGATGCTGATAAAATGGGCTGAGTGTTTTAAGAACAATTAAATTTTAGGGAGGCAAGGATTCACTTTACAGGGCCAGAGGAACCACAGGCATCAGACAGCCTTAATTACAAAGAGCAGCTAAGCCAAAGGTTCCAAAGGCCATTAAGGAAAGAAGATGCTAGAATTTAGACCCTAGAGGGTGATATCTAAGGGTAAGGTTGACACACCAAGTCCCAGCCTTGCATCATTAGGCAGCATGGCAGCATAGAAAGTGCACAGAGCCGGGCTCAGTGGCTCAGCCTGTAAACCTGCGCTTTGGGAGGCTGAGGTGAGTGGATTGCCTGAGCCCGAGAGTTCGAGACCCGCCTGGGCAACTTGGAGAGACCTCATCTCTACAATAAATCAAAAAATTAGCCAGGCGTGGTAGTGTGCACCTGTAGTTCCAGCTACTTGGAAGGCTAAGGCAGAAGGATCGCCGGAGCCCAGCAGGTCGAGGCTGCAGTGGCCGGCAGCGTGCCACTGCACTCCAGTCTGGGTGAAAAAGTGAGTCTCCAACTCAAAAAAAAAGAAAGAAAGAAAGAAAGTGCACAGAATCAGAGTCAGACAGAGGTGGGTTTGAATTCTAACTCTACTTCCTGCCAGCTGCTGGCCTGGGGATAGTGGACTTATCCACTCTGGCTTCAGTTTCTCCTTCTTCAAATTAAGAATTTTGCTACCTGTGGGACAGATAAGACTTCCTGGTAGGAATAAAAAAAAGTGTAAAGATGAATAGGAAAAAGAGCCTTTGTTTTATGTTGTTATAAAATGAATACCCGAGACTCGGAAATTTATAAAGAAAAAAGGCTTATTTGGCTCATAATTCTGATGGCTGAAAGCTTCAAGATTTGGCATCTATATCTCGTGAGAGCCTCAGGCTGCTTCCACTTATAGCAGAAGATGAAAGGGAAGCTGCATGCACAGAGATCACATGGTGAGAGGGGAAGCAAGACAGGATGATGCCAGGCTCTTCTTAACAACCAACTCTCCCGGGAACTAACAGAGTGAAAAATTCCTCACCCCTGACAGAAGACAACAATCTACTTATGAGGAATCCACCCCCATGAACCAAACACCTCCCGTTAGGCCCCACCTTCAACATTGGGGATCAAATTTCAAACATGAGATTTGCAGGGAACAAACCTCCAAATCATAACACGGTCCTGCACAAACACAGTCAGCTGATCTTTGATAAAGGAGTCAAGGCAATTCAATGGAAAGAGGATAGTCTCTTCAACAAATAGTGCTGTTAACAACTGGACATCACATGCAAAAAGAAAAAGAATTTAGACACAAATTGTAACATCTTTCACACACACACACACACACAAACTCAGAAAAGATCCTAGGCCTAAAAAATGTAAAATGCAAAACTATAAAACTCTTAGAAGATAACATAGGAGGAAATATAGATGACCTTAAGTTTGGCAATGACTTTTCAGACACAACACCAAAAGCATGCTCTGTGAAGGAATTAATTGATATGTTGGGCTTCTTTAAAATTAAAAGCTTCTGATCTTCAATATCAATGTTAAGAGAATGAAAAGTTAAGCCACAGACTTGGGGAAAAAAATTCTTGCAAAACACATATCTAATAAAGGGCTAGTATCCAAAGAACTCTCAAAACTTAATAATAAGAAAACACCTGATTGAAAATAGACAAAAAATCTGAACTGACACTTCACCAAAGAAGATATACAGATGGCAAGTAAGCATAGGAAAAGATAGTTAACATCATATGTCACTGGGAAATTTCAGATGAAAACATCAGTGGGATACCCCTACACACCTATGGAATGGCTAAAATCCAAAACACTGACATTACCACATGCTGAGAAGGTGGTAGATCAACTGGAACTTTCATTTTTAGCCAAAGGGAATGTAAAATGATACAGTCATTTAGGAAGACAATTTGACAGACTTTTACAAAACTAAATATAGTCTTATCGTTCAATTCAACAATCATGCTTCTTGGTATTTACCCAAATAAGTTGAAAACTTATGTCCACACAAAAACCTATACATCGAGGTTCATAGCAGTTTTATTCATAATTGCAAAAACTTGGAAGCAATCAAGATGACCTTCCATAGGTCAATGAATGAGCGAACTGTTGTACACCCATACAATGGGATATTAACCAGCAACAAAAAGAAATCAGCCATCAAGCCATAAAAAGGCGTGGAGGAACCACACATATTGCTACGTGAAATGAGCCATTCAGAAAAAGCGATTGTGTGATTTCAACTATATGAGGTGTTGGAAAAGGCAAAACTACAGAGACAGTAATAAGATCAGTGGGTGCCAGAAATGTATCGGGGGAGGGAGGAATAGGTGGCACCCAAGGGATTGTTAGGTCCATGTAACTGTCCAGTATAATGCTATAGTGGTGAATACCTGTCATTATGCATCTGTCAAAACCCATGGGATGCACAAGGCAAAGAATAAACCTCAATAAAAACTATGGGATTTAGCTAAAAATAGCATATCAATATTGGCTCTTCAATAAGTGTACCTAATTGCAAACCAGGTGAAGTGGAGACCAAAAAGCGTCCCCAACTTTACCTATACGATGACCACTTGTATACCTAATCCTGAATTGTACCCCACATCTTTAAAATAAAAAAGAAAAGAAATATGTAAAATAATAAAATAAATACATATGTACATATATATGTAAAGCCTCTGGTATAGGTCTACATATAGAAAGCGCACAATCAATCACAGGTTTAAATCCTGGCTTTGC